AAGAATCAGAATGGATGAAGGTGGAGAATCGTCGCATTTTTATCAGTCATTTCGAATTGACTTTTCAGCTGGAGCGAAAACCGCCGACGACTTTTCACAGCTCGGTTCGCTGAAGGATCGTAAAAGCGATTGGGAAAGCTCCGCGAAGGAAACGACAGTGGTCGATAAGAAAACGTCTGCGGTTGAGGAGGAAATTGCCGCAGGCAAAGTTAAAGCGAACCTCGAAAGGTTTTCAAATTCGTTTTGTGATATTCTCAAGATTCTTGGAATAGTTCGAATAACTTTCAAATTCTCCGCTCCCTCATCATGCAATACGCACTAACCGCAGTTGAAGCCAACATAAGCTAACTGGCGAATTCGGCTTGAACCGAAGTGAAAGTGCATGGAACTGAGTTGTTTGTAGTGGTATTTATTGACTATGAGAGTGAGATATGACGTCTGAGAATGAAAATGATCCATTTGATCATACTCATATTATAATGGTTTTGATCACGTTATTGTGGTCGATCGTGCATAGTTTCTAAATTTGAGAAGCGCGAGCAAGTTTTCAGGTTCGTCACTGGTGCAGCAAATGAAGCAGAAGAGGACGAGGAAGAGGACGACGCGAATCGCGATCCGAATATTATTCGAGAAGATAGAAAGAAACACAAAGAAGATCTCAATTTCGAACAGGTCTCCTATCGATTCATTCTCCTCATCGCAGGCTATCATTTATTTTGAATTACTNATAAACTTGACAAGTGGTATCAGTGCGCAATTCAAGAACTGATTCAGTAGGAATTTACGAACTTTAGCCGACACTAGAAAGTGAAAAAGTTACGAGATTGTCAGCGCAGCGGTGCTTTAATGAGGCAGTCTAGGTTATATGATGAATTATTTGTGTGATTCGTTTACATAACGCAAGTTTTTGGTTTTCGTCATTGTTTTAGAAGCAAGTGTTGAAGTTGATAGTGTTTTACGCGACATGAAGTAAACAGTAATAGATTTTCAACTGTTCATTCGATTTACATTTTTAGGTTGGTGACATCAAAAATAAGTGGAAGAGTGGTAATGTGGAAGGTGCGGAGGTGAAGGAATTGTCCAAGGAGGATTTGGAAGAGCTGAAGAAGGGACCAGGTGTTAAGGAGCGTTTCAAGGAGCGAACTGAGGAGGATGAACAGGTTACTACAAAACAGTGGGATCGCAGTGAACTGGACACATCTGGTTTGTCACATCTTTCAGAATAACTTTGAAATTTTGTTTTTGCATTCTAGTTTCGCAGTTGCTCGCAAATAACTGATATGTGGATGTGCTAATATGGTGTGCTATATGACTTATCCATTCGATATCCATAAGTGACACTCTAACCTGCTTCGGTCGGCTTTATCTCNTCGCGTGTTTCAACGCATATTCTCAATCCAAGCAACAGTGTGTGATTCCCCATATCCTTTGATGTTTCTTTCCTTCATATGGCTTGCTTATACTTTATCGTAATAGATCAGCGAGCCGCAGAGAAGAAAATTTTTCTCAAATGAATTGAACTTGAATCATTTCTTGCTCATATCCACTCACGTTAATAGATTGAGTGCGTTCATCTTACGGCGAGTGAATGCATTTGAGAGACCGACCGCTTGATTAGATCATGAAGGGTGTTCGGTTCATTTCGCTTTATATAATTTATTCACTCGAATACTGAAGACATAATTGTTGGTGTGTATATGTGCATGTTGTGGACATAATCAAGAGTGACCAAATGACCGTTAGTCAAAGGTGAATGATGTCAATTTGAGATTGATCATCAAATAGGGTTGTTCTCGTTCCAATGCTCGAAATCGTGCCACCCTTTCCAGTTGTACCTTTCAATGTCGTTGTACTTACCGATCTGATGCACACATCATCATATCAGTTCCTATTAGATCACTATATTCAATCCCATGGAATGGCCTCATCTTATTAATCGCCACACATCCCAATTAGATATATCAATTCTTTATCATTCGGTGTTATCCGTTATTTATGAGTCGATCTTCGAAATCATTTTATCTTTTTTGTTGATCAGTTTGAATCTATAATAACTTCAAACCCATTACCTGAAGTTACATTC